CGATCTAGTCATCGGTTTTCAGGTCAATGTTTGACTGTTCAGTTCTGATAATAAAAATTAAAAATAGAAAAATAGTCAAAAATTATTGAACGGATCAATGGTTGGATCGTTCGAGTCAATAGATTATTGACCGATTTAACGGTTTTTGGTCAATGACTGGGTTTGAGGTAAAATGAAACCAATTGCCTGGACGGTTCTTGGACAAACAATCCGATCATCTGAGTCAACAACGATTCAAAAACTATGCTTTACTAGGGGTATAAATCAGGTTGTCCTGAGTTAATAATTTATATTATTTCAGACTCGGACTTTGGATTGAGCCTATTAAAATTTTAACAAAAACCCAATCTTAACCCACAAAAATTGCACCCCTAATACCTACAACTTTTGGAGCCATCATCAGAAATATATATTTTTATTTATGGAGAGATATTTTCAATACATAATACAGCAAGTGACTATGAATACGTACAATGTGGGAACGGTTATCTGAGGACTGAATCCAAATTCACCTGTGAGTATAGTAAATGGGTATGCCTGTCGAAGTTAGCCTAGTTGATTAATTTCAACCATCCAACAAGAAGAGGAAGTATTTTCCAAATCCATTTTTTATTTATTAATTTTTTGTCAGAACGGTTTATCCATTTGATTTGAAAGATTAGACTATTTGACCCGGGAACCGGACCCCTGAATGGCTCATTGTCCGGTTTGGGTTTAAAAACCTTGATTTTATCTTTCAACCCTCCTCTTAATTTTCTATATGACATGTTTCGGCTTTGAGTGATGATTCATCCAAACCAAGGTTCAAAGTATTGATGAGCGCATCAGCCAATATCAGTCATTTTTTTTAACTTTTACTTATTTTCGATTTTGATTCAGAGGGGCCAGTTTAAGTCCCAGCTACATATCCTCTGAATCAGGCCCTGATCCAATACAACCCCTGTAAGGACGTATCAGGAAGGGCCCAATACGATATATATCAACCGATACAGGCTAATACATAAAGATTTTTTGAAACTTGATCCAAACCACCACCTAAATCACGTGGACAACAATCCGCCTGCAACTTCTACAAGTTGATAAATCTTTTGGCGTCTAATTAAGATTGTAAGAGATCGCATCCGCTGCAGTCATGGTTGCAGCAAAATTTGACGATAAATCACTAAAACAAACTATCTCAATAATCACGTTAATGGTTAGTAGTCAAGTGGGTCGGTGAGTGGTTAGCAGTTATCACGTTAATGGTTCACAAGCTCCAGTCTGATCTTTCACTCTTTCAGCCTATACCATGTGTCTTTGCTGCTTTTTAACAAGTTTTTCAGGCTGAAATGTTTGAGTTACTTGTGTTTTGTAAACGTTTTGTTTATTTTGTAATTTGCATTAAAAAATATTGATAAGGTAAAAAGTGAATAAATAGATAGAGTTTGCATTCTAAAAAGCACAGAAATAATAGTTGAAAAATCAAACTCATCCGTGTTGATTCATTAGGTTGCGTTTGATTGAGGTGTAAATGTGAATTGACATAAAATTCAACCGTCGGTTTGCATTTACACCCATTTGTTTTCGGTGTAAAAATGGACCGGTGTAAAATTTTATATCCGGTCCATTTTTACAGCTGTTTATTTTTCATGTAAAAGTTTCACTAAAAATCGATGTAATCATATTTTTTGACTGATTTTTACATTGATAATCAATGTAAATGATACATTGATAAAATCAATGTACTTTTACATTCATTCACTTAAAAATTCCCAACCGTCCAATAATTTTAAACCAATAGACTTTTATATAATGGATTTTTTCATTGACTGAATGTATTTTTCCACTGCATTCAAACGCGGCCTTAGGGGTAATCTCAACAGTCCAATAATTTTAGCTATCGTGTTTATTTAAGTTGGAGTCAAATGTATATTTCTGAAAGTTTAGATACGAAAAGAGCACATTTGAAGTTAAGACCCTAAAGTGAGATTATCTCCAACATTAGTTTATCAAATTGGACTTAAATGATACTTTGAAAATTTTGCAGGGATATAAGGAGAGGTAAAAATTAAGGGATGCAACTTGGATCGGCCCAAATTAGCATTTTACATCGCTTCAACGATTTGGGCTTGGGCCAGTGGACTGGGCCTTTCAAATTTCGACAAAAATCCAATCCGAGTTCGCCCAAGTTGTAGCTCTGGGCAAAATGAAAATTTATCCACCAGCTGAAGAGTGGAGTACGATTAAGCTAGTTTTCGGGCCTGGCCAGCCTGTCTCTGCAAATTTGTTTCCTTTTTTTTGGTAGAGTCCTTTCTCTGCAAATTATTAATCCAATTCACAACCTAATTTTGTTACCCTTTCCCACCAAAGAAAAGGAAAGAAAAAACCTTCATCCAATGTTTTTGAACCGCCGTTGATTCAGATAGTTGAACTGTTCGGCCTGAGAACCATCCAGACAACTGGTGTTTTTTTACCTCAAACCTGATGGCTTTTGGCCAAAAACTATTAAATCGGTTAACGATCTGTTGATTCAGGCAATTGAATTATCGACCTGTTCCAGACTGTCTGATCAAACTGGACAGTTAAACCATCAACCCAGAACGGTTCCGATTCGGGATCGTTTTTTATAACATTGCTTCCATCTCCTTGATTCATTTAATAGGCACGGCTGTCAATGGCCATATCAGCCCAACAGTCCTGAGCCGATGCAAACCCATTACATAGTTTCTGAATCAGTCTGTATTTCACTTTTTTTTTTTATTGGTATTACTATTACATTACACGTGTTACAGGGGGATTCATGGGTTGGATACAGCAGGGTGCACGTGAGGTTGACTCATCTTACCACCGATAGCCTGTGGTTAGCAGATTTGATCCCATACCTCTTTCTTTTTAGGGACGTCGAGTGACCATCGGAACATCTGGGCCATCGGCCCACTTAAGACCCCAACTGATGACAAAGATACCTTCAACATTATATACATGCCTAAAATAGTTTCATACAAGATTTTAAAAATCAGACCGGACAAGGAACCATTTTGGCCATTGGTTCTGGGGTCAAATGGTCTAATTGTCTAGTTCGAACAGATGGTCCATTCTGATTTAAAAAATAATTTAAATAAAAAATGGCCAAAAAACCATTGTCTAGGTTGGCATGTCAATGGGTCAACTGCCTGGGTCAGTGGATTGCTGACCAAATCAACGGCGGTTTTAGTATGAAACAGAACAAGTTGCTTGACCAGTTCCTGGGTCATCCGGTCCAACCGTCTGGTCTGGTCCAATTTTCAAAACCATAATTTCATATAAAATGTCTAAAATTGTTATTTTAAGAGGGATAAATAAGATATTTTGAGAAGAAAGAACAAGAGAATCAGCATATTTATCACTAGATGCCTGTTAATTAAAACCAGGGTTTGTTGGATCAGAACTTATAGACCCAATTGATAATAGAGTCAGGTTTATAGGGTTTGAGTTGGAATTGGGTCTGGGTGGTAAGTGCCGGTAGTAGATTTATCCTGAGTCCTGACCATGGTCAGATCCAAACATTGGGAGCTATATAAAGCCAATAAAAAGGCCCCCTATTTCAAGGAACCGTGGACAAATTTGGCTGGATCAAGATGTCTTATGTAATTAGATGATCTTAATGCTATGTTTGATTTGATAGAAAATAAAAACTACAAAGTTGAGGGAGTGTTCTTAAAGCTCAGTTTGAAAGGAGTACAAATACAAATTTGTAGAGTATAAAACCTTACATTTTATATTATTTTGTATGTATTTGTACTGTACATATTTGTATTTGTACTCCTTCCAAACTGAGCCTAAAGAAAATTTTTCTTATTTTCTATCAAACCAAACACAGCCTAAATATCAAACTAACGACTTTATATTAAGGCATCTAGGCACTTTTTCCATTTCAAATTTTTAATACATTAGGCTAAGTTTGGTTTGATAGAAAATAGGAAAAAATTTGTATAGGTTCCTACATTTCTCTTTCTTTTCCTACCTTTTCCTTCAAACCAAACACAGCCTTAGGATAACAGACACCCAAAATTGCCCTTTTTCTGAAATTGTAGATATGTCATTGCACCAGAATGCTTTGCATGAATCAGCTTATGTGGCCTTTTTAATGGAGGTGCAATTTGGGTAGGCCCAACTCAAGCCTGGGTCGATCTAACACAATTTTATAAGGGCTGGGCCTGAGCCTAAAGTTCTGGATTTTTTTTTTTTTAATTTTTGGGCCAGGCCCGAGGCCTTATGCTCAATTTTTAGAATTAAGCCTGGATTGAGCTTAAACCCGACCCAGCCCATCCGATTTAACACACTTAACCGTTTATGCAATATAAAGAGACTCATTGTGACTACCTATTCATGGGCTGGGCTCGGTTTGACTATTGCCAAAATTTGAATGGGCCCGGCCCGAAGCCCGAGCCCGTACTACAGTGGTTTCACAATCCATTATTTGGAAGACAGACAAAAGAGTTTGCTAAAATCTAGGTAAAAGAATAAAAAATAATGAATTATATCAGACTTGGAAGGATCATCTTCATCTGACACCCAGACTAACCATTTGGCCTAAAAAAATTTATAATATAAGAATCATCCAAAGTTGTCGCCTGGTGCTCTGAAAAGTTAATTTCTTCTTTCCTTTTCCCTCTTTTAATTTTATATTCCATGATCTCCGCCTGGTCTTACCCTTGTCCACGTTGGATTAAAAATTAAAACGGTAACCAACTATTGGAAAATTTCTGACAGAGTGTCAGTGTGAACCCAATTTTTGTGCTAATCACTCCACCTTTCAGAATTCAGACAGTAACAATAAACAAGTCACAAAACTCTGATCCGACCCGATGGAAGAAGGAAATAAGAAAATTTCCGTGGAAAGGGAAAACAGTTAAAGACTACTCGGGTTTAGGTCACTGCATCCAAAACATGCTCACTCTTTTTTTTTAATGGATTTTCCAACTTTCATCTCCTCCCACCACCCTCCAAAAATCTCTCCAAGAATTACCTTTCAAAAAGAATAAGAAAAGAATTAAAAAAAGGTTTTGAAGAAAAATACGCAAATACCAAACAAATCGACGGTACATATTTGCAACAAATATTGAAATTGAAATTTAGAAAAAAAGGGAAATAAAACAAGGGCCAAAGAGGGCAGACGCAGACAGCAGATGAGCAGACTCACCTCTCGGCTCTCCTCTCCCAACACTACATACATCCATGATCCATCCATCAATTCAAAACAGAATCACGAATCCCAAAGACAGAAAAAGGATGAATCTAGAAGATGTCGAGAATCTCAAGGATAGAACGGTTACAAAGGGGACACGAACCTCGATTTAACCACAGCTCCCTCGAACACACCCTGCAAAACGTGTGCCCACATGGGATGAATGCCGCACCTTTCCTTCTCCCCATGCACACGCAGCACACCCCATCGCTCCCCCCTCCTCCTCCTCTTCCTCCTTTCTCCCTCTCTCTATCTACGCCGTCCGCTTCTTCCAGCAATCTCATCAGCGATACCCTCAACGGTGTTCCGGCCACACCACCACCATCACCATCCGTCCCTGTGGTTCCGGTTGCACTGTTCTCACTGGGGACCACCAGCTCCAAATCTTGACCTGCTCTCAAGTGACGCTCCGCTGCCAACGCCGTCGCCAAGTTCATCCCCGACCTCGCCGGAATCTGACTTTGACCCGCACACGATGGGTATCCCAAGCCGTTCTCTGCCGCTGGCATCTGATCTCCGCCCAGTGTTACCTCTTCCTGTTCGTGGCGTGGCTGGTCTACGTAGTAGTAATCGTAGTCGACGTAGTCATCGTCGTCTTCTCTTATGCTCATATTGGAAGGCCTGAAGCCCCAGGTGGCTCCACAGCAGCCTATTCCCTTCAAGCCCAGCCGTTCCCTCAGATTCTTCCACCTGTTTCCTCTCTCCACACTCTCCATTGCTTCTCTCAGAAGACCCACCGATGTTCTTGCTTCTCTTTGCCGCTCTATCGGTTCCTGCAAATAAAAAATCGTCATTTGATCGAAAGACAAAAACTGAAAGGCCAAGAAAGAAAATATGGAGAAAGAACATCAGCAAAGGGGTTTAAATGGGAAAGAATAATTCATACATATCGACGCGTATCGCACTAAATGGATCATCTTCGTCCATGAGAATCTCGTGAGCTCTTTCAACAGCAGAAATTCCGGTATACACAGAACAAAAGGACAATACAGCGAAACAGAAGAGAAAGAAGAAAAAAAAAAGAGATCGAAGGAGAGAACTAATAACAGCAGAGAGCAAGTGAAAATTTTTGCGATATAGGCAAATGGGTCCAAAGAAAGACAGTCTTTGCTCACATGGGAATCAGAATCGCGATCTTATCGCCAGCTCCATGATCGAGGCTCGAGGGGGCCTTGAATCTTTGAAAAAAGAGACCGAAGAAGAAAAGGAGCTTGAACCTTGAATTGAAAGAGAGGGAGAGAGAAAGAAATACTGGGTTGGGTTTTACAGATTACATATAGAGTTCATAGTTATCAGAAAACAAGTATATTTGATTACATTCTTTATTCATTAATTAACTATTATTATCTTTGCCTAGGCTATCAGAAAACGAAAAAACATATTGCCTATTGGAGTTTCTGCTGTTTCTAAATACTAATTAATTTATTAACTATTATTATTGTTTTTTAATATCGACAGACGACAACTTGACTTGATGCTCTTCGCCGCCCATTGTCATGACACCTGGCACTTGCCCGTCAATTGGGTAAAGTATGGGAGACTACCAAATTTACCCCTCATCATTGATTTAAATTGCAGGCGTCAGCATCGTTCTAAGGTGACAATGGCTGTGGCGGGCAATGACAGATAGCATGCTCTGGACCTCTGGGATGCGGATTGTGAATTGTGATGGAGTTGAAAGGAAGATTTCAAGAGTGAAGTGGAAAACAAAAAGCAGATAGGTTTTGCCTGTTTGCTTAAATCATGGATAAGAACACTTGATTTTGGGGTATTTAACTTTTTATATTCCTTCAGTCCATCAGCGTTGGTCGCGGGGATGACCAAAATTCTGGTAAGAAGCAGAAAGATGGACACTTATAACCCCAACCAACCAATCCATGTGTTGTGCTCTGCAGTCTGCTCACCATTGAATGCTGATTCCCCAGGATTGGATTTGCTTTTTAATACAATAAAAGTAAAGATATTAATTAATTAAAGGGAAAATTATTTAAACTAAGCTACTAATTGATGCTATATATCCTTACACTATTATCTTAAATCACCTTTACTATTTTCTCACAATTACCCTCATCATTAAATCTTTACAGAAATGGTAAAATGTCAATTTTACCCTTCTGTGTCTATCTGTGGCTCTATGATTCTCACCGTTGCAACTTCGCCTTCGGACCAGCGATGGCATTGACCTGTTTCCTAAAATATCCTCTCTGGACAGCGAACTCCAGGCTGTGGAAAGAAAGGGAATCAGGGGAGGGGTTCGCTTTTATTGGTAATCTGGTCTTGTTTCGTTTGATCGGAGGTGGAGGGCAGGAAGGGTTTGCTACTGCAGCTGCGGCGATGAAACAGGAGAGAGAGAGAGCCGGAGGTGGATCTACGTAAGCTAATCCTCCGCCACTACCCTCAAATCTCCCTCACCTGCAATCCATATCTCAAACCTCTACCATCCGATCGTTCGTCATCGATCTCTTTTGTAACTCTTTTCCTCGTATCAGCTCCGATTTCGAAGACCTTCGAGTTTGAAAGAGGGCCAGCTGAGGCCCTCTTTGGCAGAGGGGAGAGGGGGTGGTGTCAGTGATGTCCAGCGATGTGTCAAAGGGGGTTTGAGGGCGGCCATCTTGTTCTCTTCGTATGAACTCCGATTTCAATCGCTAGCAATGGTGTCAGTAATGTCTTTGGCAGAGGGGAGAGGGAGGGGGTTTGAGGATGGTGGAGAGGTGGTGTCAGTGATGTCTGGAGATGGTGTCAAAGGGGGGGTTTGAGGACGACCATCTTGTTCTCTTTGTATCAGCTCCGATTTCAATTTCCTTGTCTTCAACCTCCGAGAGGGAATTCGTGTTGAAGCAAGGAGTTCACCCACGCATCCGAACTCGGCACTTTCAACGGTTCCCCTGTGGCACCAGGGAAGAGAATGAGCCGGAGAGGGAAGAGGGGGAGACGGCCACCTTTAGATCATCGGACTAACCATCAAGTTGTAAAGGGCATTTTAGGAATTTAAAAAATATTCTATGTATGTTATGTCATATGTGAACCATTGTTCTCAAAATCGGACCGAATCGGACGGTCAGACCGGAAAAACCGGGAACAAGCCACCTGACCGGTTCCATTTTCCTCTAAAACCTCTTTTTTTCCCAAAACTGTTGATTTTGGTCAACAAATCGCTAAATCGGCTGATTAATCGTTAGAATGGTTTTAACTGTTTTTTCAATGTTTTAATTTTTTAAATTTTTGTCAGAACGGACCAATTGTTTGGGTTGATCAGTCGGACCGTTCGAACCGATAACCGGACCCCTGATCAATTTGATCATCGATTCGTTTTTAAAAACCATGATGTGAACAGAATATGAGGGAAAATTAACCCTAACATAGGTTTTAAACAATTGTTAGAAAATTTAAGAGTTACTGTAATATGTAAACAGAGTAGAATTGATCAATTAGTTAAATCATAAGAGTAGTTTAAGAATGTGATCCATCGGTTCAGCCCGACCCAAATCTACTGATCAAAAATCTCATTAGGACTGCAGAGTGCAGACCACTCCCAACCGCCACTGAATATTGATGTGGATGAGGACCGTGTTTTCAGACTGTTATTGACCTGGATGATCGGACTGTTTAGCTTGGTCTTTGACAAAAAACATTAATTTGGTCGGTGATCTGTTCATCTAGGTTACTGAACCGTCAACCGGTACCATCCATTCAACAGTTTTTGATTGTTTTTTATTTTTCAATTGAAACAGACTGTCTATTTAAACTGGACGGTCGAGTCTTCGACCAGAATGGTTCCGGTTATGCATCTGTTTTGAAAACCTTGGTAGGGACAGTGGTTATGATACACACCGTGAACCTTGGAGTGTAGTGGATGTCAGGCTGGACTTAGCCTTCTAAGACAAGGAGCGTCGAACCGTCCTAAAACCATGGTCAAGGGATACCCTAGTGCACACCATGTGTCCAAAAAGGTGAGGAGCAGAGCACTTGAGTATTAGGGCATGTTGTTCGCTATAAGACCGATTCAACCCAGACAGACAGGATAGATACCCTTTACAATTTGGAACGATTTTGTTTTGTTTTGTATTTGACCGATTCCAAGGCGGTCAAATAATAGCTTAGTTGGGTTTGTGACTCTGAGCACATAATCCCCATTCCCCAGTGGAAGGATACTGTCAGTCACAAACGTACACAAACAGTGTAAAGCCGTGAAACTTTCACTGCTCAGCCTGGCATACGTCATATCATACGACGACAAAGTTTGTGTGAATTGTGATTAGGTCATAAGACCAATAATTTGGATGACAATTTTTTAAGTAGTTTGTTTGTAAGTCGCTTAGGAAGGTCCAATGTTTACATATTGATCCGACTGAAATTTGGATTATCGTTCCTCTTCCTCCCTGGGGGCTGGGACTGGGACAACCTTATGTTTTTAATCAAATCTTTTGAGAGGAAATTGATCCTCCGTATGAAACCGAGTCCAACGGAAAAAACAGACCTGCAGATTTTGCTGCCGAGGCTTCGCCACACAAACTTGGTGCTGACATGGGCTGCATGCAATTAATGTGATTGGCCGAACCCAAAACAACAAGTAAAGAAAGAAAACCTTGTAGTTGTAAGGGGTTCTGAATTTCAACTCAGAGTAAAGTTTCAAAGACGTGTATACATATATATAGCCATGTAATGGTTTCTTGACATTTCAGGACAAACTTTTCTAAAGAGATTAATCTCCAACAGGAAATTGATTATATGTGAGAAAAAGGAGGTGGAATATGTGTGAACAAAATGCTAGATAGGATTAAGGGTAAAAGACTTAAATATACCCTGAATTTTTATAAATCGAATTAAATGTATCATGAATTTTTTAAACAGATTTAAATATATTTCTTAAGCTGATCCAACTAGACTTAAACATACCCTTATCAATAAAATCTGACATAAGAAACCATCTAAAATTTTTAAAATCTTAAGCAAGAAGAAATAAAGAATGTTGGAGGAGAGGAGAAAAAAAGTGAATCTTGGCCAACAGACTAGTTAGAGAAAACCCTTCATATTAAGAGTTCAGCCTGATGCGGAAATCATTGATCTTAGTAATACATGTTGGTTATAGAATTTGAGGTTCATTTTAGCTTTGTCTTGACCACCATCATGGAAAATGATTCTATGAAATGAAAGAAATGCATAGTGTTAACATTCGTAATGATGGACAAAGACACAAACAACTTCATCAGGAGAGGGAGGTGCCCAAGTTTGCTTAATAGAAGATGCCTGTAAGCAAATAAGCAACACCATACAACAACAAAATGAACAATCTAGGGCAATTCCGTCCATCACATTGAGAATTGCAACTGCACTTGCAAATCAAGATCAGTGGAAGACAATGAACTTTTGATTTTCCTCTTCCTTTATGTCTAGTTCATCCAAAAATTCATTCAACAACACTGTAAAAAAATCAGTAGTAGTTGCAAAGCTGTCCTCTGTTTCAGGGGTGCAACTTTAACAGAATTGGGATTTTATAAAAATTTCAATGAGTCCAAACCGAAGCCCAAATCCAAAGCAGTGTAAACTGTTAACTCTGAGCCAACCCGAGTTGCACCCTATTACGAATAATCTAATCTGTCACTTGATGAACAACTAAAATACATGTTCTGAACTGAAGATTTTTAGGCTCAGTTTGGAAAGAACACAAATGCTATGTACAATACAAATACATATAAAATAATACAAAATGTAAGGTTTTACACACTACATATTTGTATTTATACTCCTTTCAATCTTAGTCATTGAGGATCAGTTTTCAAGGAATTAGATATACTTTAAAGGTCCATCTTAATTAATTTTGGATAAAGTATAGAAACTTCTCCTGAAGTTTATGACAATTATAAAAACCTCCCCTATAGTTTCATTTTAACAAAATCCTCTCCTCTACTTTTGAAAAATCCAACAATTACCTCTCTTCCATCAATAACAAGACCGAAAACATTAAAGAATAGCGGTGAGTTCCCCCCTCCAACCTTCCCATTTTTTACTAAAATAACCCTCCTTTCTCAATCCTTTACTGCTTCTTTTGGGGTAGCTGGGGCTTCGGCAAGCCGGTTGTAGCTAAGATCAACCGTCCGTATTGGTTCCCTAAGGTTTGTGATGGGAAATGAGAAGAGATTGTCTGGGATAATGCTCGTAAAATGGTCCATGCTCAAGTCCAGGTAGTTCAACCGATTGAGCCGTGATAGAAGTCGGTCGACCGGTCCTATGAGACGGTTGTACGACATTGCCACGTATTGGAGCAACGAAGGCAGAGACGAAGGTGAGAGAATGTCGGAGAGGTCGTTTTGCTTAAGGTCGAGGCAGGTTAGGGCTCTTGATAAGAACGGAGGGACTGAACCAGATAGATGGTTGTGATAGAGAATGACATTGGATAACGACGGGAGAGTTTCGATTGTTTGGGGAATCTAGCCTCTCAGTTGATTGTAGCTGAGATCAAGCGTTTGAAGGCTCTGAAGCTTTGCAAGATTCGTTGGAATCTCTTCGGATATGAAGTTACAGCTAATGGCGAGAAACCGGAGGTTCTTCAACTGTGATAGCGTTTGAGGAAGAGTACCAATAATTCTACCAGAACAATGGAGGTCTTGGCTAACGCTGAAAGTTTACCGATTGCAGGATCGAGACGACCGATTAGGTCAAGAGAACCAGCTCTGGGATCACCTAGGTTCAAAGCGATGACCTCGTCGGCTTCACAGTACGCACCGGCGAAGTTGCACGGGTCGGAGGTGAAGTCCCAAGAAGAGAAGAAATTCGAGCCTGGCATGTTCGTATTTGTGCACGTTTTCACCCGAAAAAGGGAGAGGCTAAAGGGATTACTCGGGTAACTATTACTCTCTAAAATCGATAGGGTGTAACATGGAAAATGCGCAGAAAGGAATGCACAACAGAACTAAAAGATAGAGAGCAAAGACTGTAGGTCCACCGAAGCTCTTCATCATCTCCATTTCTAAAAAGAAATAGAGAGAGAAGAGATAAAGAGAAACCCAGGGAGGTATAGAACTCTGGTTTGTGGAGAAGGGTTTTAAAGAGGAAGGGATGACCTTTTCTGCTACTTTTCCGAAGATCAACAGTGTTTGAGCAATTGATAGACAGGATTATTTTAGTAATAACATATGCACATTAATTCGTAAAAGAGTAAAATAGGTATTTCAAAAAAAATAGAAAAAAGGTTTTTATTAAAATAAAATTATAGGGGAGGTTTTTATGATTGTAAAAAATTTTAAGAGAGGTTTTTATATTTTATCCATTCATTTTGATTCAATAATCAACATGCTTATTTTGTTTGTCCGAGAACAACTATACCATCCATCACCCAAATACAAATTTAACAGTTTTATTTTCCTTTTCAATATAATCCTCTTTTTGCAAGATATTTTGTCTCAACGTCTCAACATCAAGATATTTTGACACAAATTCTTTTAGATAAAAAAAAACAGAAAAACAAAAGAAGAACCTTCTAGACTGTGGGTGAGGTCTGAGATGGGCTCACTCTACTCTCTCTCTGTCCCCAAGCCAATCCATCAACGGTCAAGACCCAATTTTACAAAATAAACGGAGAAATATGGATGCATCCGATGCAGAATTCTGAATTCCAGCCCCCCTACTATTAGCTCTCTCCCCCATAGGGCTATAAAATTCGGATCGGGCTGATTGGTCATTCTCTCAAAAAAAAAAAAATCATTTGTACTCCTGATTGCAGACCTACCTTCTCCACACTTTTCCTATTTTGCCACGTGTCATCTTTAAGGTCATGAATAGGGGGTAGTCATGTTTATTTCCACCCCAAACCTATTTCCATTTTTAGGCCTCATTTTTCGTTTTTATAAATTTCCGTTCTCTCTCTCGTTCAATTCAACAACACCACACTTCTTCCTCTCCTTCCTGTTTGTTTTCCAAGTTTCCTTTCGGTCTGCATTCAAAACTTAGAGTTAAAAGAATTCAATCGAAAACATGGCCGGTGTTTGCTCTTTCAATCTACTCCCCTGCCAAAACCCCTCACTCACGCGGTCACAGCGCCTTTTGGGTTCCAACAACTCTGTTTCGCCCCTCAATTCCATCGGAGTTATTTCCAAGAATCTGTCAGAGAGGTCGGTATTCTCCCTCCGAGGACGTAGTCATCGGGTGAGACCCGTCTTGAGGGTTCGAGAGGTCGACGACGAATGGGGACCCGACAAGGAGGAGGAGGAGAAACCGGTGGGAGAGGGAGTAGCAGCTGCAACGGCAGTGGCCGATAAATCAGAGGATCCCAGCGACAGCGAGATTTATAACCTGAAGAAAGCTTTGATTGATTCCCTCTACGGCACGGATCGAGGGTTGAGGGCCTCCAGCGAGACCAGAGCAGAGATCGTGGAGCTCATCACCCAGCTGGAGGCCAAAAACCCAACTGCGGCTCCCACCGAGGCTTTGACTCTTCTCAACGGCAAATGGATACTTGCGTTAGTAATTTTACTTAATACTAGTTTTTGATCTTTCTACTACGTTCCGATATGGATATTTTCATGTCAACAATGGTTGGTGGGTGCGCTGCAGGTACACCTCTTTCGTGGGCTTATTCCTGCTGTTCTCGAGAGGAACGCTGCCACTAGTAAAGGTGGAGGAGATATCTCAGAGCATAGACTCATCAAACTTCACTGTCGAGAATGTGGTCCAATTCGCTGGGCCTTTGGCCACCACAACCTTGAGCACCAATGCCAAGTTTGAGATCCGAAGCCCCAAGCGCGTCCAGGTAAGCTATCAAGTGTTAGGAAGGGTTGGGTCCTCGTCCTTCACCTTGTAGTTTGTAGTGATGGTATTGAATTTATTCGAGATTAATTGTAAGAAAATTTGCAGATCAAGTTCGAGGAAGGCATAATCGGGACTCCCCAATTGACCGATTCCATCGAGATACCAGAGAAAGCGGAGTTTCTAGGGCAAACGATCGATCTGACACCCTTGAAGGGGTTGATCAGCTCGGTGCAGAACACAGCGTCATCGGTTGTGAAGTCCATCTCCAGCCGACCACCGCTGAAGATCCCAATCTCCAACACAAATGCAGAGTCGTGGTTGCTAACAACATACCTGGATGATGAACTCCGTATCTCAAGGGGGGATGGCGGTAGTGTCTTCGTCCTCGTCAAGGAAGGCAGCTCCCTCTTGACATCACTCTAAATCTAAACATTTCTTTTGTCAACAATACATTTTTAGAGCTTTTTTGATACAGATATGTATTACGAATATGGTTTTTTATTTACTATTATCATACACACAATAGTGAATAACGCATTCAAGTTCTTGCTAGCATGTATGGCTTTAATCCTTCTATTAAATTAAGTTTCTATGTATAAAAACTTCTGAAGGAAATCAATTTTACCAAGGGAATATCTATTTTTTTACAAAAAAAAAAGGGAATGTCTATTTGTATTTCTTCTTTTTTCACTCGAAAGAAAATTTGTATTTCTTCTTTTCATCTTTTTTTTTTTTTTTTTTGAATTTGGTTTAGGTTTGATCAAATAATGATGTAAAAACAGGAGTGAAGTATTGTAATCTTCCACAAATAAGAACAATATCCATACAGAAAACAATGCTGCGTTTGATACGCTTTCAGAGAATGGGACTCAAAACAAATTCTTCAAATGGCGATTCTTTGAAGAAGAGTTTTAATAAATATAGCCTAAGATTCCACATACATGAATGATGAATCATCCTTTTCTTGGAAGAAAAAAGGATGGATTTATCATTCCCATCTAAAAGGATGATGAATCATCCTTTGCTGAGATTTCTTCTGTTCTGTCCCTTCTAAATGGTAGGGTCCATCGTGTCGTTGGTTGACATGAATATGAGCCCAAGCTTAGGAATCCCATTTCTAAACTCGCTTATGTATTCCTGATTTCAAACCCGTTTAACTTTCTCTCAATTTTTCTCAAACCCATCCCAAACCCATTAAACCTTTGACCAAATGTTTTCTACTTAAAAAAAGTTTCTTAAGGCTTATAATGTGACTTGAATTCAAATCATTTAATGACAACGCCAAATCTCTTAACACTACTTTAAGCCACTAAGCATCTCGCCTTCTATATTATTTAATGAAATAAAATAGATTTTATTAACTTTTGTGTTCATCAAAACAATCAATACATGTTTATGATTCACAATTACAATTAAATTAAAAAAAATAATATTTAAAATTAACATTTTATAACTAAATGAAATAAACAATCTATCTAATCCAAATTTACATTAAATGATGATTTTAATCCCCAAAAATTTATACTGATAAAATATTAATATAATCATCTTAGTACTTAAAATTTATAAATTTATAAATTTCTATATGATATATAATATAATAGATTCATATTTATGAATCCCAGATATCAAGTTTCAGATACCCTAAAGTCAAAATCCAAACCCGTCTGAAAATCCAAACCTTGTAGGGTTTTAATCTAAAATCCCAAACCTATAAGATTTTGATAAATGGATCCTATTAGGGTTGGGACGGATAGGATACCCGAAAATTCCCACGAAACTGCCATCCCTACCCAAGCCCCACTAAGACCGTGGGAAGAGCTGTCATCTCATCGCTTTGCCTGCGTATGGCTTTACGCCCTGACAGGGCCCTAATTAGTCTTATGTTACTTTGCTTTACCAAAATTGAAAAACAACCCAAAATCAAGAAAAGCAAAGAAACAAATTTAATCATGTCTGATTGGATACTCAACAAAACAAGTTACAGAAGCCAAAATGCAATGACTAAATACTAACAAACAGTGAGATGAAATGTCAACTCCAGACATTTGATATGCAAATGCTCAGCATACACTGTGATACTGCATCCTTAAGAGGATCCAGGGCATCACATCCCTCCTTTGATAGTTGACTGTATTTGACAAGCTCTTGGGAGACGTTACAGTTGTCAAGGAAAAAAAAAAACAATTCATGCTAAAGGAGACCTAAAAAGCGGTCTTACTAATTTCAATAATTTGTTTACTGACCGGACTTCATCCTCTGGAACAATAAACAAGCACCCATTTTTTTCATTTTCTTGAACTAAAACTCCCATTTTTACACTGATAGACCAAAATAATCATCTTCAGCAAGACGGTGCTTGATAACATTTAAAAAGGTGCTTCATGTTTGGTCCACATGCATATTAACATCAGGACTTGCTTTCCTCATGGCCTACAAATGGAAAACAAGAAACACCAGGCCTCATTTGGGATCTGATATAATGAAAGAATACAAAACATTCTAAAATAATAAAAAAAGGGATTTGCCTGCAAACAAATCGGAAATAATATCTCATAATTTCTTAACAATGCCACTTTTTTGACAATTGTTTTCATCAATACCCACCATCCATAACCCTGACATCCATCAGCTAATGTTTAATTCAGACATATATGAATACCATGACTATATGAAATGGCACAGAAGAAAACTAATTGCCATAAATTTCACAAGATGAACTTTATAGAAGACACTTTCAAAAACAACAAAAGGAGAAACAAAGAAGGACCTGCATGGAACTACGCTCAATTACTTATGCCTTCTATAGGGCAGATGTCAGTTCAATTGCAATAATACAAACGTGATGCCAATTACCAGTGCACATGCAACACAAAAATACAGAATATGAATGAGAAGCAAATAAACAAGCGAAGATGATAACATACAATATATCAATTGCTGGAGTCTCCATTTTAGCAGATTCCACCACTGCCTGTGCCCTGCTATACAGATCAGACTTAAGTTTAGAATTTTAGCCCAAACCTTTTCTAGAAACATGTATGGCATTAGAACAGAAGTCAAATGAAGACGAAGTACAGCATGGTTACCATATGGTAACAAACAGAAAGAAACCAAAATGGAGTAATGGAAAAACCACAAAATAAAAGGGAAGTACTGCAATAACTAGGTGCCATTACATTCTAAAACTAATTAATAAGAGATTACATACAGAACTCACAGCAAAGCTGTACCAATTAGAAAACTAACAAACATCTAAAACATTAATTACCATGAACAAACACTTACAAGTGATAGCAATGGAAAGATATACACCAGTACAACATGCATATGCCTTAGCCACAACTAGCCTGAAAGGTTATTCATACAATTTTGCAAAACATAAGTTCAAAATTAATAGTTATTAAAGAGTAGATTAAGTCCACAAGTAAAACTAAGCAGATCAGTCAAACAAAATTCATTATGGTTGGCAAAATGAGATTAACTAGAGGGTGAAGGCAAACGAAACAATCATGTACACGTGGTTTTACAAACTTTACTAGTCTACTTATAGCCTGCTTCCTTCATCAAATGGCGATAGCTGCGGCCACGCACAAGTCTCTGCCACAAATACCGGAGGGACTGGACAAAGGCCATCTTCATCTTTTCCTGGACAAGCCTGCAGCACAGAAACATTTTGGTTGTGAAAAAAAAAAACATAAAAGTGAAAAGCAAACACTATGAGAATGGCATGTCCAAGTTGCTCACCATCTAACAAGGCACCTCTGAATACCTCGAGAGACAGGGCGAATGAAGGATGGATCCCGTTGTGCATATAGTAAACCAACCTAATACAAGGAAAAATAAGGAGACGGTGTAATCAACGAGACCAGATAAATAATAAAACAAATAATCAGAAAGAGGCATACCTCCATCATTGCCGTCGCAGAAGGATCATCCAGGATCTCAAGGCTACAATCAGCTAGATAGTTAACCTGCAGAAAGGCAAGTGGGTGACAGGTTAAAATTACATAAAAAGCAAACTACAATCAGAGGAAGGATTATTTCTGGTGTTTTATGCAACTATTAAGTTAAATATAAGATAGTCATCCTTTTAGGTATGACTATCTTATATTTAACCAAGGAACCTATGAAATCTTAGGTAAAATCAAATGCTCAAAAGTGGATACAGCATCCTTTTAGGTATTGGAGAACAAATGCATTTATCATCCAATAAAACTCAAGTAATTCTTATACCACAACTGGTACATTGCTGATCAAAAGTAGAACATTAAATAGAACCAATAGGTAAAGTGAATATAAGACAAGAATAATCACCCCAAATTCAGCCTTAACAAAAGATTGAACGAAATCAGTTAGTTGAAGCTTTGCCCATTCTAAAAGCATAGTAGGATTGTCCGTATGCGGGGGATGCCTCCATGGAGCACCAAAGCGCAGTCGATCTTTTGAAATCTTTCCATTGCATGCATCAATGGCAAACTGTTGCAAAATGGACAATGCTGATTCCATGGCAGGATTGACTACAGTYACCTATATAAAATAAAGAAATCACAAGAATGAAAGATGTGCTTAGGCACATGCAAATTTTTTGGATGAGCTATGCTAGCAATACAAATTTTTTCTTTTTTTTTTTCTTTCTTTTGTTTAAGTTACAACTGCATTGTACAATAAAAAGCCAGAAAATTATGTCAGTTGAGGTGGCTTATCTAATATGTGGGCCCACACAACATTTCAGATACCTGATGCAACTGTGCAAGATGCACTTGTGCCTGGCACAAGAAAAACAAGATATACCAATAGCATTGCTACTCTGGACAGGAACATCATATCTTGAGATAATAGACAAGCACCTCTTAGAAATTGAATTATTTCATTAAGTATTAAGAAAGTACAACAGAAAACAAGAGAAGAGGAGGGATAAGCTCTCTTAGCCCTCCCCACCAAAATTCCAACTTACAACAGAACCCAAAACATGTTACCCCTTCCCACCCCTTGATTAGTGCATCAGCAAAAGAATTGGCACTTTGACTCACCCACTGAAGCCTCACTTTCATATTCCGTGTCAGCCATCTAAATCTCCTTTTTTCGTTAATAACTCCAGAATCCATTTTCCTCTTGCTGCAACCAATTAACACCATCACTACAGAGTCACCCTCAACAACCAGTTTTCTAATATTTAGCTCCTTTGCCCTTTACACTCTTTCCAAAGCACCTTTTAGGTGGAAATGGCTAAATCCATGATTCATGACCCCTTTGCAAACAGTGTTACATTGGGAATCCTATCTAGTAGATAGGCTATATAATCTTGCCTGTGTAGCCTGATACTATCTGATCAGATCCAAGATGAAATAACTGAATTAAAAAGTTTTAGAAGGGCCCTGTAAACCTTGGTATTTTCAGGAAACATAAACCTAGGGTCTTAAACTGAGGCCCAAGAAATACTGTATTATTTGAATTGGAAAAGGGATAGATATTTTATTCGACTAGAATTTTCTATCAAGATTTCATATTTTCTCATTTCATTGCAGATTGTAGTTACAAGAGATCACAGTCAGATAGTTTTTTTTTTTGATCAGTAAAAATCTTTCATTAAAAACAGAGAGATTAAGATACAATAGCTAAAGATTGCATAGGAATTTGCAATCTCTAGCAATCAGTTACAATTCTGCCCAATACAATGAAGATCTATTTGCCCCTTGTTTTGCTAGG